TTGGCAACAAGAAACCGGGGTAGATATATTAAGGCAGTGCTGGGAGAGCTGAGTACCCTCCTGGATGTGAATACGTTTGGTTCTCCTTTATAGTGGTTCAAAACCACGAATGACAAGTCTAGTAGCTGTAAAAAGTCCATCATGACTTCCCAGCATGATTACCAAGCCAACATGCAGTAAGTCTGCTTTGGGGGAGGTTCGCGAAGGATGCTGATGGCGTCCCAACCTGCTGGTATATTATTGGTGATCGTTTTCCTTTTGAACGTTTTTCAGTATGCTGCCACATCTTCGCCTTCTTTTCATTCTTTTCTCCACCATCCTTTTGCGTTATTATGAGCGTTAGTATTGACTACCGGTGCCTCCACTAGTGTGCGAAACACCGTTCATTAAAGCCATTAACTGGTGCGTGAATATTCTACGATAACCGAGAATGACACCAGTAAACGGTTAGAGCGAGATTTATAGGGACAGCACCGGGTACAATGAACGCAAGGTACATGTTATCCTTTGCTGTATACGTATGAGTTCATGCTCTGACAGTAGCCTTAGAGTTCTGATTTCGCTTTCATTTAGCAGGTTTGACCGGATTCTGGACAGTCTCAAAATATCGGTGGGTTGGCCTTTATCACAGACATATGTAGTTCGAAATTACAATCTCTTAGTTAAGGCATGCGGGATTTTGTCGCATTTTCCCGTAAATCATTTGGATTCATTCGGAAGTAAAACCATTCTTTGAAAAACAAAATCGTTGACTCTCTAAGGTGATAGGGATGGTTTTCAGTAGAATTTGACTAGAAATGCTTGCTTTGAACCATTCTGTGTAGTAACACTATTTGGAGAGGGGATCCTGAGGAGTTACTATGTTCGTTTGTCCATGCTTTGAATCTAAGAGGTCAGTTGTGAAAGCAAGTCACCAGTATGTGGAGTGTTTCGAATTTGTTTCAAAGTATCCTCAATCACTGAGCGTGTGACTGTCATGACTATATAACCCATATCTTTGCATAACCCATTAGCTCGTGATTCTCACTCTATTTTCAGCTCATGTACTACAGTTATTAGACGATTAAAGCGTACATTACGTCTTCCTATTCTCTCTCCTTTCTAATCCCGTCCTGGAACTACTCTACTCTCGCAACAGTGACCACACCAAGAACATACCGTAGAATGTCTTTCACACAGCTATGAGCCATATTGGCAAGTAGTGTGGAAAGTAGTGTAAGTAGAGTGCAGCAGTTTGTTGTCTCTCAGGCTCCTACTGGCTTTAAGATTCTTACCCGGAATCCCTTTTTTATTCTCACTTAATTTATAAGTGTTACCATGGGCTTTGAATGGTTCAAAGGGTTATCATCAAAGAAAGTTAGCTCTAATTCCGGGAACTATAGTCCCACTAGGATGGTCGTCTATTTCTCTTGGCTTCCAAGTTCATCATCATCAAAGACGTCCAGATGCAGCAGCTTGACAGAGGCTGAATGAGGAATGATCTCCGTGTCTTTCAAGCTTGTTTCACTTTTATCAAGGAATCAAAGCTAACGAGTACCGTGTCCCTCTCCGTAAATGTTCAGTGAGAGCAACAGAGAGTAGCTCTAGCCAGTTCTGTCATTTCAGCTTGCTTTATCTCAATTGGCTGCACTGGTTGCCTGAAGCCGCCCAAACTTCTGTTATATCTGCTGATTCGCCCATCTGTTGTATCTGCAGATGACCCCGCTCCAGTGTTTAGTGCTGAAAAAAGGGACTCACAGAAGGTAACACAACAGCTACATTCCGAACAAACGAGTGCGAGAGCGTGAGTGCGTGCGAGTGCGAAAATACAACGGTCTCAAGCTATTTATTGAAGGGACACTGTCTGAACTTGGGCCAATGCTGACGCACATTATCTGATTTTGGTACGAGGCTGTGACGCGCTACAAATTAGGGATGCGTTGTCTCTCTGGTCAGTATCTAGCGGAGTTGAGGGTCTCAGAGATTTCGGGGCTGTGACGCGCTACAAATTAGGGATGCGTTGTCTCTCTGGTCAGTATCTAGCGGAGTTGAGGGTCTCAGTAGATTTCGGGCATTCAGTGGTTGCTTTCCGGAATCTGACCTTCTTGATAACTTCGTATCCTGTAAGCCCTAGATGGGTCTTTCTGGGCGAGCTTACGGTCACCTCATCAGCATAAGAATGGCTGACCGACTATGCCAAAGTTCAGTCACAATCGATTAGTCAACAAACGCGCCCTCGTACGTCTTATATTTGTTTTGCCCATTTATATAACCATAAATCAAAGCGGGCCGGTGAGCTAATCCAGCTTCTCACGCCTGAAGACAGCCTTCAGACAAAACTGTAGCAGTTGTTGGTATTAGTAATGTGCCGAAACAATGATAGCTAAAGTGCATTAACCGGATGTGGACCAGGCGACAGACAAGCTGTTCGGAGACGTTTCGTCAGTAAGTAGGCCTGTCCATTCACTGACGATATATCGTCAGGCATTCTTGTTATTGGAACCATCATCTTGAATATTTGATTCCTGCTCCTATATTACATTAGAAACTGTAAGTGAATACATAGCCTGGCATTAGATTTGGATGTTCCGAAATCGTCCCGTAACCAGGCACATAATTTTTCACATGCACGGAAGCTTCCTAAAACATGCCAACAAAATGTGTGAGTCGTGAAAGCGAAAATTTCCCGTGCTTTGACATGTGACTCCAGAGCAACCTCCGCCCCATCAAAATATCGTGGATTTATTACGAACTACTTACGAATTTTAAGTGGTTTAAGAATGAACCGAATTAATTAAGTATGCTTCGAGCCTTGATGATTCTGTTTTTTTTCATGCTCCCATAGCCACTTCAACGTTTGACAAAACAAGTTGTTGCAGACGTAATAATCATTACCGACACCGTGACATCCGTCTTCCATCTACTCATTGAAGGAATCTGCATAGAATTGGACAACAGGAACGATGTTAACATCGATTATCGGCTTTATCTTGCAGCGTCTACGACCAGAGTGTGGTCCGCTCCTCATCCCGGAAGGCTAGTCAAACCGACAACACCCAGTTTCTAGGAGGTAATGTACTCCTCCGTCAGGTTAAATCTTTACCGGTTCTCTGCCTGCGTTATTCTGAAGTGGGCATGGGAAACATCACTCTACTCGACAAATGATGGTTCAATGTTCGCAATATACGACGAATCCACTGTAGCTTTTCGTGCTGAGTGAGTTCTTCGACTGAAGTCCCCGACGCACAACCAAGCACTCGCTTTTTAAATTCCTCGTTGCAGATTTTCTGGCACAAGTCCATATGAGCCATGGTTTCGGGACCATGGACGTAGAGGATCTGAATAAGCCTACTCGCAGAGGCCATGTCTCACATCCATACAAGACAGTCTGCACTGTAGACTGATACATACATCCATTGAGGTATGCCGCTTGGCCGCCATAGATGCCCAAATTAGAGAACACGATCCGAGCCTTAAGTATTCGTGCGCTCACCTCCTCTGTCAAACGGAACTAATGCAGCTTAAAAGATACGTAAAACGTTCAACAACTTCTAGTACATCCCCCTGGATTGTAGTTGGCGTGTTTAGTGACTGCACTCCCAGTAGTATGAACTTGCACTTTGTACGTGCAAAACACATGTATAAGGAAGGGGTGATTTCTATCACTTCATCCCAAAACACACGCGCCTTGTTCACCTCTTAGAAGAAGATAACAGTGTCGTCGGCATATTCCATCTCGATAAGTTTTTCCAGGTTCTTGAAAACATCCCAGTTTTCATCCCATCACCTCGTCGATCACAAAATTGAGTTGCGACGGAGAGGGTTGGAATTATTCCTCTCCATATACTCTCACAAGTCGCGAAGGCTGAGAATACAAAAAATGTATTATGTTTACAAACCTACGGGGCATTCCTTGATAGGCAGTCGTATCAAGGAGAACAGACAGGTTACCCTGGGAAATCCACGAATACTAGAATTATGGGTCTTTCATAAACATGACGGTGGAATGTGGCGACCCTGTCAACACAATTAATTACTCTCAGGCCAGAATCACGGTTACTACTAGCGAGTTAGTGTTTCACGGGTTACCTTAAGGCGACGAAGGACAAGTGACTTCAGGAGTCTCATTACGACTGCGGACAATTTGATTCCATCGTAATTACCTCACAGGCTACGAGCCCCTTTTTCGGAAACGGTCACTATCATTGATTTTCCCAGTTGTCTGAGAAAGTCTTTTTTGCAAAAATGTAGGTAAATGGATCACAGAAGCACTCCGGGTTCCACCCCACCCACAAACAGTGTGGGTCTGAGGTCATCCGGACCAGGATTACGGTGGCGCTGGAGAGAACACATGCAAACACAAACCACTGAGGCCGTAAACGTTCCCAGGTTCACCACCCAGGGTCCTAGCGCAGTCTTAGGACCCATCTGAGTGGCAGCAAGTGACGATCAGAACTGTTGTTTAGAGTGCTCGGTCCAGAGGTCAAAACATCCTTCTTTATTGAAGATGGTTGCGCCACTTTGATCCTTGATGTTTCCGCTCACAGGTAATTTCCACGGTCCGGTCACCCCGATTAAATGAAATAATTGTTAGTGATTCCTGGTTTTTCGGCCTCTTCGAGTTCATTAGCTTCCCGTGTCCACCAGGCTTTAAGGTCGGTGAGTTCGCTGAGTTCCACTTGACATATGACAATTTATCAAGCCAATTTTAGTAGGGATCGGTGGAAGCATTTCTCCGAGATCCAAACAGTGCCACTGTACTGTCTGATATCCAGTGATTGAGCCGGCCTGGTAGCGCCGTACCACAGGCAAAACTCCAGGCAGGTGGCAAAGATATGGTTACCTCATCCCTGTACGAATGAGGTTGGGCGGTTGAGCAGTTGGAAGAGTCCAGAAATGGTTGTGATGAATTCCTTCCAACTTCGTACCTGTCGATCTCTCAGTTGCTAAACAAGTTGTCCGCCCTGTAAACAGCCCTGCAACTTCGGATGAGCGCATGTTTATAACCCATAAATATGTTCTAAAGCGATCGACCGTCAGTTGGTGATCCGTACCATCGGTAATTGATGGCGACTTGATCAATTTGGATTCGTGGCTTGTGCTCCGTTGAAGGACACCATGTGGCATAAAGATAGCTGCGGTCGGCACGTAGCTGAAGTACTCGTTTGCGGTTGTCCTCACTTACCGAGTTCAAGCCAATTCGACCAGCCGAGTGAATGTCAGATGCACTCAGTCTGCTTACTTGTGCGTCCAAACCTTCGGCAATCCACTCTAACGGGAAACTGAAGACGTCAGAAAAGTTGAAGTTGACGGTGTCGCACATACCGTCGGTTGGGACGATTAACTCAGCCGCTGCAGTTTTATTTTGAATTCGCTTCTGATACACATCACGCATCATTGTCAAGCGAGTCCAGTGTGAGAGCAAAAGCAACTTGTTGTCCTACTTGCTTCAAAGCTCTAACATTAAAAGTGGCCCGATAGACTGGGTGTGGAGACTTGAAAATCGATTTGAATATGTTTGAGGTTGTCAGCACTGACAGACGTGCAGATATTACAGCTAGCTCCGATGTAAGACGAACGGGGCAATCAGTCCTAAGGATAGACATACAAAGAGTGAGTAATCAATTGGGGGTGTGTGTGGAATATATGAATGAGGAAAAAGGAAGGTGTCATTACTAGCCTGCTTTAATTTACCTGCCCTGCTGTACACAGTAAGGCAGTCCTGTTTTTTCTACTTATTTATATTCACTTATTTACAAAGCTATTTTACCGTCGTGATCATATTATCAGACATGGTGGACTGAGCGGTGATTACCAATTTGTTGAATTTTGGCAACACAGGACACCATATCTCCGCCTGATTTCAAAGGGTAATAAAGTTGTTTTCAGAATAAACATCTGGTAAAATGAAAATTATACGAAAAATAACGTGTTTTCTGATCAGGCTCTACCTTTTAACCGAGGACTGCATGCAGGACAATTCAGGACGGAAAATGTTTGCTGTATCGTCAGTGGCCGCCTATTGGTTACACGTGAACTGGCCCTGCCAGACTACGCGGCTGCATTGTCGGGACAGACATACAGAGCTTCCGCCAAATGGCCAAGTATGGGCATTCACTTATTTGTTCTGTCCAGCCAATGGCGACGTTCCTGCCATGAGCAGTTTCACATCCGCTCCAGTGATCGCTGCCGCTAAGCCGTGTTTGGTGGGCTCCGCCCACGCACTTGCTACCCGGAACGCGTGGTATCGATACTGACCGTGCCGTTCTCTGTACATGTATTTTCGTGGCTGAACGCCCCCTGCCAATTTCGGATACTGGCGGCTGGCCAAGTGGCTGTTGATTTGTTCTCCGAGCTTGGCAATTAGCTTGCAAACGCTTCGTCACCAACCCAAGAGACATCATCGGTGCGTAGCTAGGCCGGCCCTTCCTCCTAATCTGCTTGCGTCTACATAGTTTTAGAACAATATCTGGTATCCTTTCACGCGACGGATTGATTGGATAGGTTGTACTCCATTACTAAAGCGAAAGTTGTATTCAAAGGCGCAGTTACATATCGCCGTATAGAGAAAGAAGTGTTGAAAATAATAAAAGGCTGGTGTTCTTCAGGCTCCTCATTACAGGATTGCCAGACAACCACAGACAGAAGTGGACAGAAAGGTGACGGATACAGACCAAATTATCGGCCCCACAGCGGTCATCTGAACTGTCACGAAAAAAGCCGCATCCGGATCCTTGTTATGCGCTTTGACTGCAGCAGTGCGGAATACAAGGTCACAGAAGGCAAACGCTTGTGTAAAGCCTTTCAGAGAAGTGAGTACATCGTAAACTTCATCTAGCAAACCCCTCGGAAAACGCAACAGCACGAAGAGAAGGCAGGTGGCCACAATTTGAAAATCAAGAGCAGTTCCGAAAAGACTACACGATTGTTATGGCAGCAAAGCACAGCGTGGCCCGAAATCCTACGAAAACTCTGAGGACAGTATTGTCAAAACCAAAAGAAGAATTAGATATAATGCGGATGACCAGTGTCATGCAAAAAATTCAGTGCAACGTGTTCAAGAAGCATCAAGTGGGATAACCAGGAAGGAAACTTTCTACAAGACTTGATGAATACAAACTTGCCACCAAGAGACACGAGCAACTTTCAGTCGCTTTCGCACAGGAAATCAAAGATGGACACATCACACAACCAGGATAGAGTCACCTTCACATACTGACCTAGGCAAGAATAAGAAAGAATGCGAGTTGATGGAAACTTGATGATCCACTGGAAAAGACAATAACGAACAAATTGAAATCCACCCGATATAACGATCGCCAAGGGCAAACAAACCGTAGAACCACACGACGAAAGCACCACAAAAATCCGGAAGTGATGAGCTTGGAATAAACAGGAAAATCCATATCTAAGGAGCTATTACATCTGTCCCGAATATGCAACGAAACAGTAAGTGGAAGAAGGATGAGGAAGGAAGGCCTCGAAGTAACCGGCCAAATGCAAAGAATCAGTCCAATACAGGAAGGGAATGCTACATAAGATGGAGTGCGGCCAGTCAGACTAAGGATGATCGGAGAGCAATACAGCTTCAGGAGTGATCAATCAAACTTAAGCAAGAAAGCAGGAAAAAGAAATAGAAAGTACCATAATAACCAGTCAGGTTCAAGGAAGATAGACCATAATGCAGCACACATCGAGAATAGACCAGTCGGAAAGTAAGCCAGAAACCCTCAGAAAGGAGTTATTTAACGGTCCAACCAAGTGCGGGCAATATAGACCACAAAGCAGATGAACTAATAAGAATACAAGGAACGTACATATCAACTAGAGAATTGCATGAAAGAGCATCAGATACCTTGTTTTCTAGGCTAGGCACGCCACTTATAAGGCTATTGAAAGCCCTTCGATAATCTACGACCAGTTTCACTCTTTTGGAGTTCATCAGTTAGGTGCAGTCCCCGGGTTGTCACCACCCTTATGTTCAACTTGAACCTAAATTGCACGACACCCGACAAATACGATCGTCTGCATACCGGTTTGGTTTTCACAGAAGACTCAACGAGATCAAACTGAATCTCTTCTGTCAAAACCAAATTCGTGTGCAAATGAGAGTACTTGTCGGGATTTGTCCAAACAACTCGGGGTCTGTGCCTACCTGATGGGCCTCAACCAACTTATGAGTGCTATGTTATGTCTATACCTATAAGTTTATTGTGTTCTTCACCTGCTGCTTGTGCGTCAACAAATGACACAATCCACTAAAGCCACTTATGGGTAATCCAAATCATTTGCCGTACATCTTACGATCAATCGTTCGCACATGAAATCGACCGTAGATCAGAGGAGGCGTTTGTGGGGATTGGTTTCACAAGCATGTGATGGGTGACACATCTGAGTAAGCCACATGGGCCTGGCCACGGTGTTGGCGGGCGCCGCACATGAGGGTAATAGTGCACAGATTATATGCACTAATAAAAGTTTTTACTATGGTTGACAGTAGTGAGTTGCAACACGCATTAAATTAAATGCAATGTGAAATGTGAAGCAAGTCAAACGAGGAACTTATCGTTTGTGAGAGTCTCTTGGTGAAAGTCCTGACGGCCGGAACGTGTTTTCTCCGCAGTATAGCTGCTACACGTGTTCCATAACTCCGTGGGATTGTGGAGAGTGGTTGTCGTCCTGCTCCTTGCGCGCGCGCATGTCTGTGTGCTGACTGTGCTCGGTTTTCCTATATGTAGGCATGTTTGCGTGTACGTGGGTGTCAGCGCATGACTTGTTGCTACGCTTACTTGACGGCACCGACAGTCAATGTCAGATGAGTCACAATTGTATGGCGTGATTTGTGAGTGTAAAAAAGAGGGTCTCGTGATCTAGTGGGCGACTGTGGGCTGAAGAATCAAATATGTGGGTGAAGGGATAGCTGCAGGGGTCAGCCGGGAGTGATTTCGC